GGACCAAGCAGCTGTCTTGTAAGTAATATAGGGGGCTGGGCTTCTCTTGAGTGCTTTGTAGGACAGGGCAGGAAAGTGATGAACAGCAAAATGCTCCCCCCTCCCTTTGTGCGCATGACCCCCCCCCCAAGCACTTGGGTCTTTATCACAGTAATTTCCATTTCAGAGGCAGTGTGAATGATAAATGGCAAAGTGCCAGGGGCAGAAATGAGCCTATCAGCAATTCTGCTTAGCCTAACAGAGCTGCTCAGACTGTAAGTTCTCCTCCTGGGTCAGCCAAGAACTATCTGTTCTGGGCATCTACATCCTTACTCTTCTGTTAAATCTGGGAGTTTCCCAGCAGAAGCAAGGGGATCAAACAAGAGGCCTGGACACTTGTTCTTTATATGTACAGTGGTACCCCGGGTTAAGTACTTAATTCGTTCTGGAGGTCTCTTCTTAACCTGAAACTGTTCTTAACCTGCTGCTGCTGTGCCGCCGGAGCACGATTTCTGTTCTCGTCCTGAAGCAAAGCTCTTAACCTGAGGTACTATTTCTGGGTTAGCAGAGTCTTTAACCTGAAGCGTATGTAACCTGAAGCGTATGTAACCCAAGGTACCACTGTACAGGCAATGCACATGGGCCCAAGGCAGGTGGAATTGTACCTGTATGCTCGGTTAGAAATGGACACACAAATTTCAGTTTCTAGCCTTCCAGACTTAATTCCACCACATTTCCACGTCAGCATTTTATTGTTCATTACTCCCAACATACAATTTTGTATGCAAATTTGCCTACTATGCCCATTCTTACAAGCGGTTTCTCCTAGTAAAAGGCATTTTTAATTCTATTTTTCACTCTGCATTTTAATACAAACTTTTCCCTAATATGTATTAGCAGGCGACGGTGTTTATCTCCTTCTTGTGAAAAGCTATAGCTGCTGAATCCTCACCCCCAGGCCAAGCTGCCCCCACCCCCACCGTGACCACTTAGCAGATCCTATTCAAGCATGTGAGTGGATCAATCTGATTTGCTAATTCAATCTTCTGCTTCTGTGCTCACTCCCATTGCTTCCCTGGCAAATGTAGTATTGGCTGATGTGCATAAACAATGGCTTTTACTGTTCCTGAATCATACCACTTGTTGCAGATGTGTGCATGTGCTGGGGAAGAGGCATGTTTGCTTGAATGCTCCTCCCCTAAAGAAAATCCCCACACAAAGAAGATTAGCATGTCAGGGAGTTTAAGTGAGAACTCTTCTCCCTGACTGTCGTTTTCAACGTACATATGGTTACAGGCTAACACTTGGTTACATGATTACAGGCACATTTTCTTGGATTCATGTGACTATGCGTGAAGAGTGTGGAATCTTTGTGCATTGATGAGAGGACATACATGGCTGTTTGTGTATATTTTACACATATCTGAGTGCAGATATGTGTTTGCGCATAGTACGTACTTACTGGGTCCAATGAGAAGCAGCTCATGAACATGGTTTTGGGCTTTTTTAGACACAATGCCATTTACAGTTGTACCTTGGAAGTCAAACGGAATCCGTTCTGGAAGTCCGTTCGACTTCCAAAACGTTTGGAAACCAAAGCGCAGCTTCTGATTGGCTGCAAGAAACTCCTGCAGCCAATCGAAAGCCGTGGAAGCCCCGTCGGACGTTCAGGTTCCAAAGAACGTTTGCAAACTGGAACACTCACTTCTGGGTTTGTGGGAGCCAAAACGTCTGAGTGCCAAGGCGTTTGAGATCCAAGGTACAACTGTATTTACTGAATAGATCCTAACCTTGAATAATGTACTGTCACCACATCTAAGAACTTTCACAAGGGTTTGAAATAAGGTTTTGGTTCTCCTTAGCACGTTCAATTTTTGCAAGCTGCATTATGCACAGCTTCCTTTGCTTGTAGGAGCAGGACGTGGCACGAGCAATAGAAAACTAGTTTTGCCTGCCGTTTGATGCAACTTCTCCTAAGGGAAGCTAGCACTTCCACTCAGTGGCAGAGCATCCACTTTATATGCAGAATTTTCCAGCATCTTTAGTTATGGCTGGGAGAGACATGCCTAAAACCCCGGAGAGCCTCTCCCAGCCATCGTAGAGACAATGCTGAGTTGGATGAGCCAATACTCTGACTTAAGATAATTGTACCCAGCTAAAGTACTGGAGAGGGACGCGGGTGGCGCTGTGGGTTAAACCACTGAGCCCAGGACTTGCCGATCAGAAGGTCGGCAGTTCGAATCCCCACGACAGGGTGAGCTCCTGTTGCTCAGTCCCTGCTCCTGTCAACCTAGCAGTTCGAAAGCACGTCAAAGTGCAAGTAGATAAATAGGTACCGCTCTGGTGGGAAGGTAAACGGCATTTCTGTGCGCTGCTCTGGTTCGCCAGAAGCGGCTTAGTCCTGCTGGCCACATGACCCGGAAGCTGTATGCCGGCTCCCTCGGCCAGTAAAGCGAGATGAGCACAGCAACCCCAGAGTTGGTCATGACTGGACCTAATGGTCAGGGGTCCCTTTACCTTTAAAGTACTGGAACTGAAGTATGTGTGGAACTTATCTGCTCTTTCTAATACGCAAATTATCAGTTGCAGTACTATTTTTCTAGAAAAAGAGGTACCAGAACTCATCATGAACCTTTGTTCTCTTAGAATGGCAATGGCGCCCACCTGAGAGGTGCCAGAACTGAGTTCTAATGAGTTCCAGCTGAAAAAAAAAGCCCTGGTCATTTGCTTCACTGAAAAATTATGTTTGTCTTCGGCAGAAAATATCAGAAAAGGTGGAACCTAAATTGAGTGAGCAATTTTCCTTGCTTCAGCAAAGAACAGTTTAAAAACATTTGTAGCTGGAAGCACCGTAGAGTGGTTTTCTAACCCTACTTAATCTGCTCTTCTTTCCTGATTTTGTCTGCTCTCCATTAGAATCAGAACTGTAGAGTTGGAAGGGACCACAAGAGTGATCTAGTCCAACCTACTGCAATGCAGGAATCTTTCATCCAATGTGGAGTTTGAACCCACAACCCTGAGATCAAGAGCCTCATGCTCTACCCATCCCAGCCGATCATGCTGTGTTCCCTATTTTTCAGCTGGGTGGGTTGAGCAAATTCCTTTGTCTACTCCGTGTGCAACTGTGATGTTGGTCTACCACAAGAGCATGTCATAAATATGCTGTTTCTATGGGATAGTATATATGTATATATTAATAGGGACGCGGGTGGTGCTGTGGTCTAAACCACAGAGCCTAGGGCTTGCTGATCGGAAGGTCGGCAGTTCGAATCCCCGCAACGGGGTGAGCTCCCGTTGTTCAGTCCCTGCTCCTGCCAACCTAGCAGTTCGAAAGCACGTCAAAGTGCAAGTAGATAAATAGGTACTGCTCTGGCGGGAAGGTCAACGGAGTTTCCGTGTGTGCCAGAAGCGACTTAGTCATGCTGGCCACATGACCCGGAAGCTGTCTGTGGACAAACGCCGGCTCCCTCGGCCTATAGAGCGAGATGAGGGCGCAACCCTAGAGTCGTCTGCGACTGGACCTAACGGTCAGGGTACCTTTACCTTTACTATGGGATAGTTATGAATAACTGTGTCTCCCAAGAGGCTTTTTCCTTTAAATCCTTGGATTTTTGAAAAATGCACACTTTCCTTGGCCAGCCCTGATGTGTGTGGATATTTGTGGAGAAAATATACCCTGGGTCGAATAATAGAATGGTGATGGTCTGGATGGGCAGCATCTTGTAAGCCAATTATCTGAACCAGGGAACTGTGTAGCAATGAGTGGCCCACAAGCATTCTTAAGTAACCTATTGTATAGTGCATATGCACCTGATGCTGGAATTAAGCTTCACAAAGGGATGCTGTGGTCATAGTGAAAATTAGTTCCATTGCTTTTCAGGATACAGACCGGTTTGCAATGTGACAGTCTTCTTCACCCTTCTCCTTTCAAGGTGCACAGCTAATATTTTTTACAATGTAAAAGTGAATTATGTAGGTGTATACAAATGTGAGAAGCAGGTATTTGAAAATGAGCATGCACACAGGTGCCCTTGTCAGGAAGATGGGATTGGCTGTAGCGTCTTGCTAACAGTGCCTTTGTTACCATGAAATGGTTGCAATTAGCCATGTATACATAACACTGCAGTTTGCGGGTTCTTGTTCTCCCTTCCACATTCCTACCACCGCCGCTAATATTTTTGCGCTGTTTCTGCTAGCGACATTAAGGACATGTCAGACATGTCGCTGAATTATTGTTAATTGTTTTATTGAACCCTGATTAATGCCAAACTGCTTAGCAGCAATTAGACATGTGATCTCTAAGAACACAGGCAACAAGTAACAGACTTGGATGGTCAACTCTACTCCAGAAATAAGAACAGAGGAAACTGGGAAGAGGAGGGGGAACTGACAACAAAGAATCAAACTTTTTCTCAAACAGATGTCTGAACATAGATGACATTAGAACTCTGCCATTATAGTTGGACACAAGTGCCAGGAACTGGAGGAGCAGGTGGTGTTGGGAGAACTCTCGTGGACTGAAATGGTCTACAGAGCAACTGTGCCAATACTACACAGTAGCAATTTATTCCAGCACCTCTTTACTGAAAATGAACAACAAAACGTTAAATAAATCAACAATTGCTTATTGCTTAATATTTGGGATTATAGATTCTTTAGTTTATCAGTACCTTGCGGCCTTCCACTGTGCATTCCTTGTACATTTTCCATTACAGATACATTCTCTCCAAACCAATAAATAATATATATATATATACATATGAAAATTATATATAATTTTCATATATATATGAAAATTAATGGATACATTATAGGGTTTTTTTGGGAGGGGAGGGAGAAGGTATAACCAAACATTTTTTGACATTTATCTTAAAATAAAAGACTTCCTCTTTTCTTTCTCTTAAATGCCTAAATATAAATAATAAAGAACATTGTTATTTACAGTGATATAACTGATATATAACTCATAAAGACAATAAAGACAATAAATGATTGTGGGGGAACATCGACGTATGTACAAGATGTATTTACAGAAAAAAGAATATATACTTAAAATGGTATGTGGCCATTTCATTGTCTACATTTCTCTGCAGCATTTCGTATATATGTTTGATTTGTTGGATATTGCCACGGCTGGTAGGAATTCAGCCAGTACTGGAAAAGAGTGAGAACAGCCTTTGCTACGTCTCCAAGTGAAAGATGTGCACTTTTAGCCAGGCTTTCTAAATGCTTAAGGTGCCAGTCCTTAGCTGGATTAAGATGAAGGAGCTGAGGGAAAATATGGACATGGTGGCAGCTTTGGGATCAAGAAATAAGAGGTAAAAGGAAACACATAAGACTGTTACCCAGAGTAGACCCACTGAAACGAATGAACTTAAGCCAATTGATTTCAATGGGTATACTCCAATGTTGGGCATCGCCTATATTGTTGGTTGTGCATTAATGGCGGGGTGAGATGGGATACAAAATAAGGATGCAGACAAATTATCCGTTGTGCGGAGAACTCTTATGCGCCATAGCAGCTGCAGAGCTGGGTCTGCCATGCTCTTTCTTACGAGATAGGGGACTATTTGCCACAGGGGAGCATGAACTACATTCAGAATAGGAGTTCTTTATTTTGACTGCTGTTTCGTTCAGGACAAGTTTTTAGCAAACATTAAGTGGGAGACGGGAGACTACACCTAATAAACACATGATGATGGTGCAAAGCTTGAATGCATTAGAACAGAGTGCCCTGAGAATTGAAGTTGCTTTTTAAAAAATATTAATAATAATAGCAGCTTTTTCTAGAGCTTGCTTTGATGGGTCAGAAATTCTTGCTCATTACCACAGCTGTTGTCTAAGCGTTTGATTTATTTCCTCATGTTTCTCTGTCATAGATGCAGCATTGCTGCAGATGTGCAACTGAGCCATTGCCGATTAATAACCCAGATGGAATGTTCCTGTCATCCAAAATAAACTTTTAACATAATACATTTAACTGTAAACAAGTAACGAGAGACCAAACAATTAACAAGAGACCGAAGTTCATGTATATATGAACTAACGGGAAGCTTTATGCTGATCAGAATGTTTTGTTGACCTCTGTTTGTGCCCTCTGTTCTTACACACTTCCTCCAGCATCTGCATGACTGTCACTGGCCAGTGGTCAGCGATGGTTGGATTTGAAGTTCCATGACTCCTGGATGGCTGCAAGATTCCCATCCCTGTCTTAAGCCACGCTGTATACAGTGGAACCTCAGTTTTCGAACGTGATCCGTTCCGGGAGACCGTTAAGACTTCCAAAACGTTCAAAAACCGAAAACTCAATGCAAAAGAGTCAATACAACAGGGAAACTCAAAACGGAAGCGGCCTTGGAAGTTCGACTTCCGAGGCTCGTACAGAAGCATTTACTTCCGGGTTTTGGATGTTCTGAAATGTTTGTCAACAGAGACTTTCGAAACCCGAGGTTCCGCTGTATTGTCTTAGGGTTGTGATGCCGAGATTTTTATTAAAAGTCTAAAAGGCCTTACCACCAGTTTTTCATTGAACTTAAGCTACTTCAAAAAATTGTGCCTAAATTTTAAACCACTTGAATCAGCTGATCACTGCTGGCTTTTCTCTTTTTTAGATTTCAATGGCTGTGGGCCCCTTAGGAATCACAACAACTGGGAAAAAGCTGTTTTAAAACAGATTCTTTTGTACTGTTCCCATTTTGGAAATCTATGCCCTCATGTGCTTCAGAGAACAGAGCTTTAAGAACAGAACAGAGAGAAGCTACTACATTTCAGAGGACTGTTGTTAATGTACAGCACATTCCAGGTATTTTTTAAGCAAAGGTGGTGATACATAGGTAACCCATTTTTACTTGGGCGCATGGAAGTATTACCAATCCCCTCATCGTCTAACCACTTAAAATCAGATGTAGTACTTTGTACACAAGACTGTTTTCAGAAGAACTTAGAGATCTAGCAAAAGACACCTAATTCTCAGCAGCCTTTCTGTGATTTGGTTATAAACATCCGCTTCACAAATATTTTACTCATTCATAGGTGTTTGCTCTTGTTAACGAAGTGATCATTCCAAACTGCAAAACAATAGTAAATGAAAGGGCCACCTTAAAATGCATAGATATACCCCCCCCCCCGATTTTAGCTACTCACTTTCTCATCTCTTTAATCCATTCTTTCCAGAATTTCCCTAGTAACTTTTAATTAATTATATTATTGCACAGCAGCTAATGACAGATGCTTGAGCATAGCTGAGGATATATTGTCAGTATAGAAACAATGATAAAACTGGTGCATAGGAATGAGACCTACTTTCTATATTGTAGTTGCAGATAGAATGAACAACAAAATGCATTTGCACTGACATTTTAAATTGGTAATTCCTCTACCACGGCATTCAAATCCATGATAGTGCATACGGACCTTGGAAATGCTGACCTCAGCTGTAGCAAATAACTTTTTATTTTATTTTACATCAATAAAATGTCAGCATAAGAGATGTAATAACCGTTCTGAATGCTTGCTACTTTTGGCGGAACTCTTTAACTTTTATCACCTTGCTAGGGAAAAGTCGCATTTAGCTATTACTTTAAAATATCCTTTGGTAATGTATCACCAAATATATTTTATATATCATATATACTCAGACTTACCCTCCAAGATATTATTACAATACTGGGATAATATTAAGCCCTTATACTCTTTCCCCACTTTTATGATTTTAACAGGCAGTTTCTAGTGGCGACTTGTCAGCCGCAGCAGGGTGCTAAATGGAGAAATGTGACAGCTCCTTCCCTAGATAGGAGCTTAACAGAGCAGTGTGAGATCCAGCAACCTTTATCAACAATGACGCTAGCCAGCAGAAAGGGACAAAAGGTAATAAAAGTATGTGCTATTTCTTCTTCATTTTTTGGATGGGCTGATGTACCACATTCAGTTTTCATCTTGCAGTAGTCTGCACAACATATTTCGAGAAATCATGAATGTTCAGTATTAAAGGGAGTGGGTAGGTACACAAAACATCATGTAACTGGTAACATTTTCTGGACTTGCAGGGGTGCACTGCACCACAGAATAATGGTAAAATCCTGTACAGTCGTGCACTAAGAGGTTTTCTGATTGCCCTGCCTTTTTCCCTGGGAAAATTCACTATTTAGCGCTGAATTGTCAATCGCTGGAAAACCCGATGAATTTTACTCCATTTCAGAGGAAAGACTGGGTGGGGGTGGGAAGTGGCAAGACAAGCAAAAGTCTGCACAAGTCCTAGGTTAGGAAGAGTGAATTTAGTTAGGATCAAAACTGACATGGGTGAAGAACGAGGTCCAGTGATTTCCCTTTCTGTTAGGTGACAAAATGGAGCAAAACAAACACAGCTAAAAGGAAGACAAGTACAATGAAGAAATCTATTGGGAATATTAATGAGAAGTCTGCAGCTTCTATTGATGTCTTTTTAACTGCACAGTATTGTACTCAGTCCAAACATTGAGGTCTGACATCAGCTGCTCTGTAAAGTGGATTAAAGCTGATCCGTTTTCAATTTAAACTCTTCTCTCAGATCCACACAGTAGCAGGGCCTAACTCACACTAGAGCTCAAAACTGAAGTAGTAGCTCACCTTAATACATGTGAAACCTTAGGAAGTGGAATAAAGATGAATGCGGAAGGTATGCATTTCCAAGGCCAGTGGCAGGGTTTAGGTTTAATGTTGGGGATTGGTAAAGAATCTCCTTCCTTCTGCCTCTTACTGTTATATTTTTGTGACTTACTTGACCAATGCAGTGTAACTTTTATAGCCATGTAATGTTTTGAGCTGGCTTAGGAGACTGTGTAGGGTTTCTGGGTAACAGAGCAATGCTTTCTCTTGCCTTGAGAAAACAAGATTTTCACCAGTAAAGGAAGATAATACTGCTGAATCCCAGGGTGCCAGGAAGCTAATGCTAGAAAACATTCCCTTGTTAGGTTCTGAACCGGCAGCCAATACTCAGCAAAGCACTTAAACATGCGCTTGAAGTCAGTATGATGAAATGGAAACTTCAAGCTTGTGTTCATGTAAATTACATTGCAGGAAAGTTGTCTCAATGGTTTTTTCCCTGTAATATAACTTAATCAACAGTTACAACATGATTCTAAATAGCTTTATGCAGAAGTAAATCCTACTGATTAAGTTTCTCCTGGTACATAGGATTAGGACTGCAGCCTTAGACTACGGTGCACTCAAGTTACATTATCCAGATTAGGCTCTCTGGGAGTTGCAAAGATCTCAGCCTCATACATCAGTATTAACTGAACTCAAAGGACTAGTTACGAACTGTGAACAGATTTGTTTTTCCTAACCCTCTCCTGAGAGTCAGTGTCAGCACAACCAACCTTATTTTTCATTCACAAAAATGAATGAAAATACCACCTTCGGTCACCAGTCTGTGCTGCACAAACTGAGATGTATAAAGGCTAGGACTATCGTTCTGACCCAAACTCAGGTCCAACAAGGGGCTGTTGGCTTGTAAAGTGAGAAGTTGAAATAACTCTATTCCTGGTGCCTAAGGACCAAACTAGATGGGATACCTATTTGTTTAAACCAGAGACTGCCTCACTCACACATAAAATCAGGGTAAGAGGCCCACATTTTAAGGATAAAATGGAGGGGAGGCCTACCTGCAGCATATCCCCATACAGCCTGCCCTATCCCCAGCTCTTTTACCCTCAGTTGAGCTCTGAGGAATATGTTTGGCTAGGTGAAAAGTGATGTGGGGAGATGATCCCCTTTTGCACTCCCCTTTTCTCTAAAAATAGGGTCTTGCGTAGCTCACCTTCTAGGTGACAGGGGCAAAAAAGTCATTTGATTGATTAGTGGCATAATGTATCTAACAAAATACATGCTTGACAAAAATGTACCACTTTTGCCTTACAGATACTTAGATGAAAACCAATACAGATCAACACTTTCCTTCTATTTTACTAAATGTTTAGCCTTTCCCCACCAGACCTCTCATTCTAGCTCATTTGGGTTTCATCTTGTATGTAAGTTGGCAGTTTTGGGCTCAATCCAAATCTAACCAAAGTTAAGCATGTTTAAGTCCCAATGATTGCAAAGGAAGAGATACCGCCCCCAGTAGAAGAGACATTTGTTTTCCAGTTTGAACATAAAAAAATGTTACCCATTTGAAGCGCACCAGATTTCACTCCATGGCAGGGGGTGCAGATACAGGTTCAAAATGACTGTGGTTTTACCATTGGCATTTTAATTCCCCACACTATGAGTCCCCCTCTTTTTTTTGTTTGGTTACAAAAGCTGGTCTAATTTTTACCCAGGAACTGCAACCAACTTACCTTGCAGGGCGTTCTTCTGTATAAACCACACTGGAATAAATAGGAGTTGGTCAAAAGGACTGATATATAGTTCCCATTTATTTCAAAGTTGGTTGCATAGGAGGACTTCCCTGCTGGATTATGGCGCATTTACTTTTTGTGACCAAGCAAGCCTGAACTTGTGTTTCAAAGAAACACGATTACAAAGGTTCAGGGAGATTCTTGGCTGATTATATTAAACTTAAAGCCCACAGTATTTCTGTCAAATATTTAATATAGCGTTACGTCTTTTGGTATTGACCTGTCGTAAACAATGGCATAACTTTTGGATCTACCATTTCCTTCTAGGCTCCCAAAGCAAACCGTGGTCCTGTGAGAGAGCAGACAAAACCCAACTCATATAAGGTAAGGAAATAACCACCTCTTATAAAAGAAAGGCGTATGCTTTGTTCTTTAGGTAGCTATGCCAGTACAGAACGTTTTTGATCAGGGGCTACAGCAAGCAAACACAGGGACTGTTGCAGTTCTTGCAAGTTGTACAGCCAGTCGCCACTAATGCAATGCACAAAGAAAATAAGGGGACCGGGTTGTGGGCAGAGGTTGTGGGGAAGATATAACCCAGAATGTTAGAGACTTCTGCGAAATACTGTGGAACAGCAATCACTTGTAACTTTTACAAAACTTGCTCTCAACATAACATAACATAAAGGCACCATTGATATCGTTCTCATTTTTGAAATACTGTAAAAAAATTGCTACATATGGCACATAACACTTTTTGTATATACATTATATATTTAATTTATAAAAGTTTTTTTCCTGTTTTGTCTTTTTTAATCCTAATAGCGGAACTGCTAAAATAAAATAAATTGTTTTTAATTTAAAGGTGGAGTACTTCAATATATAAAATAAAGTTTTACATGTGAATCTATGTGGGTTGGTTTTTTTTTTTTAAGTGTTTCTCTCTCTCTCTCGCTCTCTCTCTCTCTCTCTCTTTTATACAGCGATGGGATCTTGGTTAGCTATTACACTGGACAATCTTGCTTGCAATTCTTCCTGTGTTGAGAACCGACTGTTTTGGGTAGTCCTGGTGTCAGCCAGTCGATATGCAGTAGCTGATTCCAGGTCGACTGTTATGGGGTTTTGTATGCTCAGAAAAGGTGTATCTTCCCCTATCCTCTCATCTTCTGTTTCACTCTCTGAGCTACTGTTCTCACAGCTTGTGTCGGTGTTCATTTCCAACCTATTGGAAATATGGCCATTGGGCTTTGTTCTTTTGGCCCTCCGACTGTTGACTAGTTTTTTGGGGGGCTCTTGCGTCGGTTCATACTCTTGTGTGGTTTCATATTCCTCGTCCTCCACTATCCTCAGCGGACTTGGTGGCAGGCTGCCGCTTTCATGTGCGGGGTTGTGGTGGTAAGAGGAGTTGAACTGTTGCATGTGATGCTCGTATTTTTCCCGTAACCGGGGTGGGGTCACCAGAAGGAGAGGCCTCTCCTCTTCTATAAACGGGCTGACTGCCACAGAAGGGACAGACATTGTTAAACTGGAGACTTGCGGAGACATTTCTGAGGCAGGCGACTTTGGAGAACTTGGAGTATGGAAATCTACGGGTGACATGCGAGCTGGTGTTGTCATAGCAGATACGTACCTAAAGAAGTACAGATAAAATTGAGCTGGAGAAGAATTAAGTGAAAGAACAAAAACGTGACAGCATTAAGAAAAATAATTTCTTGGAGGTTCCCAAGCCATTTGGATTCTTGATGCACAGCCTGCCAAATTGCTAGTAATACTGAATTACATTAGTGGGGCTGCAGTGATACACTTCTTCATTTTCTAAAAATAAAATAAAATACTTGCATTCCTAAACTCTAAATCTGTACAATGCTTGAGACAAAACTGATTAGCATGTATAATTAAATTTTATATATTAATGTTCCTCATTTTCACAAGTTTTCATGAAAATGAATAGCAACCCATGATGAAATATAGATAACATCTCCAGCGATATTCATTTCCATCAGCTTTAGAGAAGAGAAAATTTAATCTTTAGCGCTGAAAGATTTCAAGGCTGGGAAAGGCAAATTGGTTGTATGGATGTCAAAGGAATTTCAAGGTTTTACACCAAGGATCTTCATCATGGTGCTCATTTACATATGAATTCAGAAAGCATTCAAGGCTAAGTTTAAGAATAGTAGCACAATGGAAGCACTCTTCCCAGTTAATTAATCTACTGTAAGGCCCTGCAGCATTTCAGGCATTTCTGACTTTCAGGCATATGACTACATGCAAATAATACTGCAAAGGTTATTCAGAGGTGCGTGTCTCACATTTATATGATTTAGTTATGTATCTATCATTACTATTGATTTATTTCCTCCATGTGTGTCTTCCATTTGCTGTGCCACACTGGGTATGAGTCACGGGAGTATATTCCAGATACAGTCATACTTTGGGTTACAGATGCTTCAAGTTGCGTTTTCTCTGGGTTACTTCCAGGTTTCGGCGGTCGCGCATGCACAGAAGTGCTAAATTGCGCAGAAGTGTCAAATCGCAACCTGTGCATGCGCAGATGTGCCGCTGCGGGTTGCAAACGTGGCTCCCGCACGGATCACGTTTGCATCCCGAGTGTTCACTGCATTTGCTTTCCAGAAAGGAAGTTAACAGAGACCTCCTGGAGAAGAATCAAGTGGGCCCTACTCTGATAATAAATAGTCACATAAACAATAATTCAGTAATGCTTATTCTATATTCCGCATTTCTCTTAATAGGAATTGATGCACGTTAAATATATGGTTGAACTGAGGCAACTACGTGACTACGACATCAATTAGTGGTATCTAAGTGAGTGGAGTTTTCTTCTCCCAAAACCTCAACTGAGGGAAGGGGAAGATGCCTTCAACCTGCTTTTTGTATCTTTTGCTCTTTGAAAGAGGTTGAGAATAAATCAACCAAAATTTCTTATTAAAATAAGGAGAAGGGTATAGGCTGTGTATTAATGTTATAGTTTAAGCACATCTCTCTTACACACATGGTGCATCAGGTTGGAGGTTGGAAAAAGCAGACCAGACTTTCATAATTCCTGGTAGGAACCTTTTCCTGGTTATTCTGATCACCTGCTTTATTCACAGTCTACTTTGGCTGCATCTGCACTTAAGCTCTACTTTCCTCCTAAAAAGTCACTCCAAAAGACTTTGTGCCATGGGATGGATCAACATCTTTGGCTAATTATTTAGAAGATCATAGAATCCCCTTGTAAAGAAGTCTGCTCTCAGCTTAGAATTTCTTCCCCGCCCCTCCCCAACTCCCATCTATCACTGAGTTTCTAATTTGAGATGAATAAACAAACATACAATCAAAAAACCTAAGGATTTTCTTGAAAGACTGAAAAGGCAGTTTTAAAAATGAACTCATTTCTGCCGGCTTGTATCCCAGATAGTCACACCTTTTGAATTATTGGCTGTAGGTACCTCTCACTGTGTGGTGAATCACGGTAGGAGTCGGGTGTCTCTCGTGCATGCCTGAGAAAACTATTACATTCCCGTGGCCCTCCAATGCCATTGAGACGCCCTCGGGGGCCTGACGGACTTGCATGCCGGCTGTTCTCAACTGAGGAGCTCACAAGCACAGAATGGCTTTCGGAGATTATGCTTTCCGTCCGACCGTTGCTCCAACTAATAAAAAGCCGTTGGGAAGAACAGAAGAGAATATTTTAAAATTTAACACTGGAAAGAGAAAACTACGTAATGCATGATCCAGGAGTGTGCATAGAGGTAAGATTTTTCTAATGCTGCTGATTAAGAAGATAATTTTTAAGAAACTACTATGTACACAAAATGGGGGGGGGGTGTACCCTGAAACTTTCAGCCTTCAACTGACATAGTCTTCAAGATTTTACTGTCATACTAAGGAACAAATTGTACTGCTCTGTGTCAAGGAAAGCCAAATTATATAAACAAATAAGAAATTATATGCTCTGAATAAATTATGAAGTTCACTATAAGCAGATTTACTTGGAATTTATTCGGAATATCACTAACGGTCTTGCACATCCTCATTAAAACCTAATTGTTGGATACACAAACCACAGATAAGAGGGGAAAGGGTTGTTGTGGGAGAGAGGGGGGATAGTTTCCAGGTCATGTGGCCAGCATGACTAAACCACTTCTGGTGAAGCAGAGCAGTGCATGGAAACACTGTTTACCTTCCCGCCAGAGCGGTACCTATTTATCTACTTGCACTTTGACGTGCTTTCGAACTGCTAGGTTGGCAGGAGCAGAGACCGAGCAACGGGAGCTCACCCCGTCGCGGGGATTCAAACCGCCGACCTTCTGATAGGCAAGCCCAAGGCTCTGTGGTTTAACCCACAGCGCCACCCGCATCCACTATACTGTAGCTTACCTCTTCTCAAATAAAACCATTGGAGAGGAATACACACATTTCAAAACAGTAAATTAAACAAAATAAGAGCAAATGGTTTTTAAAATAGGCTACAGAGATGAATAGCCTGGCTAGCGTCCACCAGATTTTTTTATTTCTTCAAATGCAAGATGAAGACACTTGGACGTGAGTGTGTTCATCTAGCCTTGAGTGGTAAACTGTGGCAAACCTACAGTATCTATACAGGGTTACCCAGGAGTAAATTGCACAGGACTTATTCCCAAGTAAGTGGGCTTTGCCATCATGCAAAGGAATAAATGGCCAGATCTTCACAACCAGTGACCCACCAAGCTGAACTGCCTGCCTGCCCCCTGTATGGTAGGGTCCAAGGGGATTTTGGGGGCACTAATAGTTTTCTGTATGTCTGACACTAGAAAAACAGGGTTGTCAAGCACATAGGGTCCCCTGACCATTAGGTCCAGTCGTGGCCGACTCTGGAGTTGCGGTGCTCATCTCGCTTTACTGGCCGAGGGAACGGTGTACAGCTTCTGGGTCATGTGGCCAGCATGACTCAGCCGCTTCTGGAGAACCAGAGCAGCACACGGAAATGCCGTTTACCTTCCCGCCAGAGCGGTACCTATTTATCTACTTGCACTTGATGTGCTTTCGAACTGCTAGGTTGGCAGGAGCAGGAACCGAGCAACGGGAAGCTCACCCTGTCGTGGGGATTCGAACCTCCGACCTTCTGATCGGCAAGCCCTAGGCTCTGTGGTTTAACCCACAGTGCCACCCGCGTCCCTTGTCAAGCACATGGCAAGCAGCTAAATATGGTTGGTGAGACATGTTCAGTTCTGTGGGTCACACATTGGGCAGGAACACTGCTCAACATTGTTCTCATCAGAGGCATCAATGAGAATTAGGCATAGCCTAATTCCACACAACAACTTAATAGCAATGAATCTATTATTCAAAGGAATAATTGCAACATCCCAGGAACAAAAATTTGATTACCTTGTTACTTTGATTACTTTGTTACT